AAGCCTGGCCAGGGGCGGCAGCGCGACGCGAGTCCGACCCCTCGGAGTTGACCGGGAGCGGCAGCGCGACGCGAGTCCGAACCCCCTCGGGTGAGGGCGGCAGCGCTCGACGCGAGTCCGAACCCCCCCCGGGACCCCTTTCCCCGGCACTCCTGCTGGGATGGCGTCAGCACATCCTCAGATGGCTCGCAATCGGCACATCTTTTAGCCAACTCGGCTTGGGCAGGGTTACAGGGCGGGGCCGAGGCGGCTACGGAGAGGCGGTTTAGAGGAGATCGTTTCGAGGACGGAGGGGGGACGAGATAAAACCCATGAGAATCTCAAGGATATTTATCTCTGTGTCCCCTTTCCCCGTCTCTCTCCTTTTTACTCCTCTCACCAGAGGTTTTGTGCTACAGGGGGGCTGCCAGCGGAGACCCCCCCCATGTCCTCCGGGGACTCCGAAGCCTGGCCAGGGGCGGCAGCGCGACGCGAGTCCGACCCCTCGGAGTTGACCGGGAGCGGCAGCGCGACGCGAGTCCGAACCCCCTCGGGTGAGGGCGGCAGCGCTCGACGCGAGTCCGAACCCCCCCCGGGACCCCTTTCCATGCACCCCTTTCTGGTTAACCGCCATTAATCCCCAGGGACGGGTGGGAGGGTCAGGAAAATGCTGACAGCGAAGCTGCTCAGATATTTTGCTCCTTCTTTTCATCTCAACCCACATCAAAGTTAAGAGCACTCGCCAGTACACGAAATCGTTCCAATTCTGCAGGCAAGAAATCGTTCTGCAGCAAAGTTTGCACACCGTCACTGATGTACAGTCTGGCCACAGCTGTGTCTTGCCATCTCCCCACTATCAAAGTCAAGCCCATGTTCTCGAACCTTCTGTAATGAGTGGTGGCACCTCCACGGCGTAAAGAATATATCTGATAACCGTGCCGCTCGAGGTTCAATGACCTCAAGAGAGCTTTGAACACATCACGAAATTCGGGCACGGTGCCCTGCAGCAACGAGCTCTCAGGCGGCAAATGCTGAGTGAGCACTTTGATGAAGTGAACAATCCTGGCGTCGTGGAGTGTGACGGACTCCTCACAGTGTCGTCTCTTGCCTGCCTTGGTCACTGGCAGGGCTATGACAAGGCTGAGGCCGTCGTTGCTGAACTGCAGCTGCCACTTACGGAGAGTAAGAAGCTCCATTGTACGCAAGAATACGGAGTAGCCAATCACAAGCAGCACCGCTATGTCATTTCGACTCCAGAATCGAGCCACCGTGGCAAGTGACATCAGCACATATTCTGGCATGGGCGGTGCTCTTTGTGGCATCTCAGTCCGTTGCCAAGCCTTCAGCAGGTTCCACGCACTGTGAAAGACTCTCTTGCGTCGCAAGAAAAACTGTACGCCAGACAAGGTGGCCCCAGCATCTCCAGCAGGCCTCCCATGCGCCCATAGCGTCTCTATCCATTCACATAATTGGAAGTCGAGCTGCTCCAGGTCAGTGGCCACGTCGATACCATGGGCACGAATCCAAGAGACAAAGCTTTGCACCATCTGACCATATCTGCGAAACGTACGAGGTTGAACTAGTGTGTGTGATAATCTGCCAATCGCGCGTCGCACCCGAATGCGGGACACCAAGTCTATCTCATAGTCAATGCGACGCTTCCTTGGCATTGCTGTCACCTGACATGCCGCCTTCCCTCGAAGGGTCGTCGGCTGGGTTCTTGTCGGTCTCGGTGTACCCGTAGATCGGTCTTGCCGACGCCGCCAGGACCAGAGCTGAGATCCTCTTGACGGCTGCGTTGAGCAGATGCGAGGAGGAGCGCCCCCGCGATATCACACCAAGTCCAACCTGCGAATCCATCAGATGAGCGAACCTCGTGCCAAGGTGATGGCCCACTCTGAAGCGCCAGCGAAGGCCTGCCAGCGTGCTCAGCACTTCCAGCGCCGTGATGTGGCTCTTCCACCTCCACTTCCAGACCAGCACTGTCTTCCACGTCCAGCGGCTCACGCTGATCGGGCGGCGTGGCCACAAGTCAGGGCGCATGACCTCCAGCGTGTCGAGGCGCACGTCCGAGCCCCTCACCTCAGCTCGCCGGATCAGCTCCTCCACGATCTGGATGCTCGGGTCCGCCTGCGCCTCGGCCTCTTCAAGGCCACGGTCCCTGATCACCACCCCGCTGTCGTCGCCCTCCTTGGCTACCTGCACCAGGCCCTCGGCAGCGTCGAAGGCGCCTCCGACCGCGCGCGCCTCCGCCATCGTGGGGACCGAGTCCAGGTAGCCGTGTCGGTGAGCCCAGTGCGCCACTATCCATGCCACCACGCCGCACTGGAACGAGTTGCCCAGCAGGGCGCAACGTACCACCTCGAGCTCAGCCAGCTTGCGGAACCGCGTGGCCCGCGCTGTCGCCGTGTGCCCAGGTGGGAAGTCCATCAACATCTCTCTCTCACAGGAATCCGCAGGCTCCAGCGCACCTCCTTGCCATCGCAGACAGTGAGGATCTCGAAACTGGTACGGCGCATAGCAGAAGTCGTGCCTCCGCCAACGC